TAAATCACTTACATTTAGTTTGTCATTTACTTTTAAACTAAGCTGAGGAATGACTCGCTTATTATGTTTTTTGTTGTAATTAAATTTACTCTTTTTAGAGGTTTAATAATGTTCAAACCTGTATTTCCTTCTGGAAATATTTGCTGCCGATCCACTTATTTAACCATAACCTCTCAAGACATTTTTGCGAACTCATCAAAAGTTGTTTCTAAAGATGTGGGCGTCTGTTTATTATGAGGGAAACTAAAAGCCGTTATTTTTCTTCTTTCTCAGTGGCTTCATTTCATAAATATTCTGGTTGTGTTTTAACAGACGGCGACATGCAAGAGAAGGCCAACCTGCTGATCACAGAGCTGTTTGACACCGAGCTCATCGGGGAGGGAGCTCTGCCCAGCTACGAGCACGCTCACCAAAACCTGGTCACGGTTCGTCCAAAACCTTCCAAACTCAGTCCGCTCCTTCGCTGCTGCTCAGACAGACGAGCTCTAATGCAGTGTTTCTCAACCCCGGGCCTCACCGCCCCCCCTGCCCTGCCTGTTTTAGGTGCTTCCCTTCTGCCACACACCTGAATTGTATCTCTGGGTGATTAACAGGCTTCTGCAGCACTTGATGGTCATGCAATAATTTGAATCAGTTGTTCTGGAATAGAGGCACATCTAAAACATGCAGAGTAGGGGGGCGGTGAGGACCAGGGTTGAGAAACACTGATCTAATGGGAAAAACTGTGAAAGCAGAAACGTATTAGAGGCCATTTAAGCTGCAATTGAATTCTTCTCCCGCTCATACATTCATTATTCCCACACAAACATTTCCTCACAAATAGAAATGGTATTGGTTTTAGAAATGAGTTAAAAACCATCAGTAGTTTCTAGAGAAAATGCTAATTGTTTTATTCAGGTAACGTGAAATAAATTTTAATAAAGCCTTTATATAATTACATAAATGCTGAGATAAAATGAATAAATCTTCTTAAAAGAAATCTTTTAAAAAAAATCTGTTGTTTTTGTTTATTCTGTTTTTAAAATATTTGAGAAAAAGCGATATACTTTATATACAGTAAATTATAGTTATTGAAGATGCCTTAAATTAGCATTTTGTGCCTCTTTGGAAGCGTTTTCTCATTGGTTCAGGTGTTTATGTAATTGGCCAATGACTGTCCACCTTGTTGCAGAGTAAAGGTTGCTCTGTGGCCAACAATAAGTAAGATGTGATCTAATTTCTCTTCAACTTGTTGTTTCATTTGGCCTCAGAGTGAAGAAGTTAAGTAAGTTTTTCCTCGTCTTTTGTTTGTATGAATATGTAAGATATTGTTAGGATTTCTGTTTTAAATTGAAGCTTAGCAGCATTTAGTAAATACACGATATGTTGAGTAAAATATTAGTGCAGGTAGTTTTTAGAGCATTATGTCCATTTTTATACCTCCTGCTATTGGAGATTTCTTTCTTTTTTTTTATTTTTTATTCATGTCAATGGCACTTTTCCTGTAGAGGGCGCTTGGAAAGTATACTAAAGATTTAGACCTCAAACTTTTTTTTTTTTTCTTCATTTTTGTCCAGATGAAAAATGCTTGCACCTTTTTATTCATCCGTCAGCTTTTCATTTAAACCTCTTTTGGCTCTTTGTGGTTTCTCTCTCTGTGTGCAGGCGGGCTGCGAGGCGGTGCCTCACCGCGCCACCGTCTACGCCCAGCTGGTGGAGTCGGAGCTGCTGTGGAGCTGGGCCCAGCTGCAGCCAGCGGAGGTGGAGGGGGCCCGTCTGGTCCCGCCGCCCGCCGTCGGCCGCTGCGCCGGCGCTCACTCGGTTTGTGACGTCCAGCTGAGCCAGGTCTCCCCCAGCAGCTTCACCCCGCTGAGTCCTCTCTGCGCCATGTTCAGGTAGAAGCACCTTCTGCTTCTCTCTTGTTTCCGTCACGCAGTCGCTGCTCACGCCCGTCTGCGTTCCTTCCCAGTGTGGACTTCAGCAAGCCGGTCAGCAGTGCCTTCCAGTCCCACTCCACCAGCTTCGTGGCTCGGGCCGGCGGTCGGGCTCAGGTCGTTCTGTCCTGGTGGGACCTGGACATGGATCCCAGCGGAACCATTGTGTGCAGCATGGCTCCCACCTGGACGTACCCACAGCCGGCGAAGGCCCCGGTGAGTAACTGGTCAGAGCTTCAGGAGGCAGATCTGTCCAGAGCGACGACTCTAAAGCTTGTTGGGGGCAAAAGATGTGCAGAAGATTTAAGACACACGAGTTTAACAAACTGAGTTTAATTTGTTGCCGTTTCTTAAAGTGAGGGATTTCAAATTGTTTATGCAATGAATTGATTTATTTATTGCTCACCTTTTTTGTCTTACCAGCTCCTCGATGTTTTTTATCGACAAGTTTTGTGTTTTTAACCTCCATCGATTGAAGCAGTGGAATCAAATGCCACACCTTCTAGTTAAATATTAATTGTTGGTGTGTTGTTGTTTTTATTGTGACTTTCTATAAAATTAATTTCCCATTGGGACATAAATATCTGAGTCTGAATGTGTGAAACTTAAGGTCCGGGGTCCAAATCCATCCCACCATAGCTTTTTTTATGTGGCCCTCTAAACTCCAGAGTTCTTAAATATCATCATATCAATTAAATCAAAGAAGTTTTTATTTGTTTACTGCCAAATTACAGATCAGTCCGTCCAGTTTTTCACCATTTTCTGATGGTTGAAATTCATGCAGAATCAACACATTCACACATGTTTTTTGTGTGAGTGCATAATTGTGAGTTTATTGCAATTTCCCACAAGAAATGGTCAAAAATGTATGGTCGCTAACTCCCGCCTGCAGGTGGCAGCATTCCTTACTTCTAGCACAACGCTCCCTGAGCTTCATGTAATGTCAAGTTGTAGTTTGTGATCAGGGTGGTGATGAGTAACAAACATTTTTAAAAGTAGCTCTACAAAATCAGTGATTTTGATTACAAAAAATTCACAAAAACAATCTTAAAATCCTGGACGGACCGGTCAGTGTGAAACGATGTTCAATATTACGTAGTTTATACAAGTCACTGAATGCAGACAGAGATTTTCTCCATATTTTAACTGTTTGTTGATGAGTTTTATCAACACATCCTGGCAAAACTGGCCGTTTGAGAACATCTGTGACGTAGATTTGGCCCAAAATGGAAAAACCAGCGGTAAGTTTCTCCAGTAAATCCGAGTCCTGCTGGTGTGTTTTAGTGGCGGGATCACTGGATGCAGAGTGTTTACTTCCTGCCTGCAGAGCGCCAGGTGGCTGAGCGAGAGGAGCTCAGTCTGACGGTCTGCCATGACGACTACAGTCTGTGGTACAGCCTGCAGCCTCACAGGTCCGCTTGGACAGCTTCGCTTTGTCATTACTTCCCCTATTAATCGACGTGTAGCGTTTACCTCAGTTCAGTGAACCTCTCTGTCTCGATGTTTCAGTCTCCAGGACGCCCAGGCTGCGACCCCGCCGCCTCGGCCGTGTTGCACCTGTCAGGCTCACCTCGTCTGGACTCGGCCTCGCTTCGGCGAGCTGAACGACAGACGGCGTACGGGGAGCTACGTCGCCGCTCTCCGCAGTGTAAGCGAACGCCGTCGTCATGGCCGAGCGTGCACGGTTGCGTTTGTGTGCGTTCATTAAAGCGGTGGTCCCTCCAGGTCCTGAGCGAGGACAGCGTGTGTCTCTCTGTCAGCGATGGAAGTCTGCTTCCTGTGTTCGCTCACATGCTGGGAGCCAAAAAGGTACGGCAGCTCCTGCAAACCAAATGTTCCTGCTCAGATTCTTGTATTAATGTGTTTTTTTTTTTTTTTGTGCTCTTCTTGTTCCTGACTCAGGTGTTCAGTTTGGAAAACTCCAGAATGTCCAAACAAGTTATTGAGGAGGTAAAACTACAAAGTTATTGTCTGGAGGCTTTTGTTTGGTACCAAATGATGGGTGGTGATTAGTAGAGGGACGTCTTAATTAGCTCTTTGGCTAATCAGCAAGCTTTGGAAAGCCCTGGTCTTTATTCATGACCATAATTAGTTTAATTCAAGGCGAGTTGGAGCTGGAATGAGTCCAGAGGGATTTGAAGACTGGAGCTGCAAACTCCTGATACACATTATAATTAACCCTCATTTTCTGGATGCTTTTCTTTCTTTCTTTTTTTTTTTGTTTTGTTACCTAAACCTAAATCAGGGGTCAGCTACCTGTACCCTCCAATAAAACGTCTTTGTGGTCAGTCCTGTTGAATAAATGCTACATAATCGAAACATTTTTTTTTTTTTTACAAATGCATGTAGAGAAATGTTAACTTTAATTAATTTTGTTAATTTAATCTGCAGGTGTTGGAAGCCAACTCTAAGAAAGGTGGGGTTGAACTGCTGGAGATCAGGCCTGAACAGCTCACCAGTCAGGACCTCAGAGGAGAGCAGGTGCCGCTTTTGATGACGATCCCGCCGTGCAGCAGAACATTTCATTTATTTGATGATTTAACAACAGAGCAAGAGGATGAAAACAGTCGTTTTTATCAGAAAAAGCATCTTTCACTCTGATCTTCCTCTCTGAACATCAAGCTAGTACCAAGTTGGAAAACATATGATAAATTCATTTTTAGTTTTTATTTGTTAAATGGGTCAAAACGCAGATCTGCCATATTCGTCGTCTTTCACTCTTTTGGAGTTTAGTAGAAATCTAGCTATATATTTCTTTGATGGATGAACAAGGATAATCTTGTAATCTCTCTTGGATTCAGGACTTCATCAAACAACCTGCAGTCATTTTCTTCATCTGTTTGGTGTTTTAGTCCTCAGATAAAAAAAAAAAAAAAAAAAAAAGAAAGTTTGGGCTAAAATAATCAAGACAGCCAGACCTCAAATAAAAACAATTTGCAGCTCTATTAATGAGTTGTTTTCTGTTTATTTTCTGTCCCAATTAAAGTAATCAAAAAGTAACTTTATTAACGGTTCATTTATTTACAATAACACGCTACAAGTTAAAAGACCCAGTTATGTTTTTAAGTTGACGATCTAAAACCTGGGGTTACGCCTCCTGCAGATTTCCGTCCTGATGGGGGAGCCGTACTTCAGCACCAGCCTCCTGCCGTGGCACTCCCTGTTCTTCTGGTACTGCAGGACCGCTCTGGCGGGCCTCCTGCGGCCCACTGCCACCATCCTGCCCTGCTCTGCCTCCCTGCATGTTGTAGCCGTGGAGTTCCAGGTCAGTCGAGCGATTGATCAAATATCATCCAAAAGGCAACACAAGTTGTTACCCGAACAATTCAGCTTTTATGCATTTCAGTCGTAGAAACTTGATGATCTGAGATGCCAGAGTGCGACTCGGTCACTTCTAAAAAATATATATAATTACTTTAAAGTTATTTTAACGTGCTAGTACTAAATGATATCTCTGACTTGTATAATTTTGAGCTCATTCCTAATAGAGCCGTTCCTTTGTTTCCTTTGAAAGACTTCAGGTGTTTCCGTTTTTGCTGAAAACTGGCAGGACTTAAAATAAATTGAAAGCGAATCCATTAAGATTTCGAAATAAATGATTGTGTTATTTTTGTTTATTGTTAGGATTTGTGGAGAATAAGAGCGCCGTGTGGAATATGTGAAGGCTTTGACGTCACTCCCATGGACGAGATGGTGCAGGTAAAGATTAAAATCGAGGTCAAAGTAAAATTTAACAAGTTATTTATTAGTAGGGTGATGATTTAATAACAGTACCACGTCAAGGTGTGTTTTTGTATTTGAAAATGTGCACCTGTGTCTTTAAATCACTCATGAGAGGAAACAAAAAGTGAACAGAGTTCATAAATCTGAGCTGAAGTTGCAGAAGGTGGATTGAGGCTGTGTGTTTCCACAGCGCTCTCTGGATTTCCGTGAGTCCCGTGAAGCGGAGCCCCACCCGCTGTGGGAATATCCATGTCGAGCTCTCACTCACCCCACCGAAGTCATGACCTTTGACTTCACACAGTGTGTCCCTCAAGAGCCAATCAGCAGCCAGGGCTTGCTGCCTTTCATAAGGTAGAATCTGCTTCCTTCAGCTTAGGGGAGAAAATGTTTTTTTTGAAACGGGTTTATTGATGTTTTAGTTTAATTTTCTTCTACTGTTGCTTAATTTATCCAGAAGTTAGCGCTTGGTATTTCTGTTGAACTGCTTAAAAATCGGTTTCAGGACGGGTCGATGTCACGGTGTTGCCTTGTGGATGGACTATCACCTGACTGATGATGTCACAGTCAGTGGGGGTCTGACTCAACCAATCAGGGAGCAGGTATCTTCTTCTTTTGTCATCTGTGAAAGCATGTCAGGAAACACTCTTTAAAATAGTCTTTTTCAAATCATCAAAATTTGTCCGAAATCTGATGGCAGGTGTTTCTCCGTTTTCCCTGCAGGGAGACTGCGAGTGGAGTCGACACAGGAAACAGGGAGTTTACTTCCTCAGGTCGGCGTGGGACAGTTTAGGTGACGGCAGGACCGGCGTGTCGTACAGCTTCACGTTCGAGCCCAGCTTAGGAGACGTCAGGATGGACTTTAGCATCACGGGTCACTGATGTGAATCCAAAACTGACTGAAAAAGTTTTACCTCAAGTCTCTTATTTAGAGCATATTTAACTGTGTGTTTACAGTTGCTGTAATGAGAGAAGTTACCGTTTGCCTTTTTTTTTAACGATACGTCAACATCAGGAATTCTCAGGGCCAAACAGGCTTTGATATGGAGACATCAAAACCTCCTGCACAAGTTACTCTCCAACAGACCCACTGTCGTCTTGTTTTATAGTGAAAATCAGACATGGACTCGTTTCTGTAAACTCTTAACACAGACGAAGAAAGCAAAGTTTGGAACACAAAACAAATAAAAAAGAGTGGAATAAAACAGTAGTAACATCTTTAGGTGCCCTGAGAGTCCAATATGTTTCCACAAAGTTATATCACACAATCGTTAAAAAGACAGATCGGTTACCGACAGGCATACACTGCTGGCAACAGCAAAGGACGACAAAACCTGAAGTATCAAATCTCTACACCACATTCTTAGGGTTAAATCCAAAGAGTTGGTCTTAAGTTTATTTGTAATAAATGACAGAAAGTGAAATGATGCCTTCATACATAAATAAGCTTCAGTTCAACAATTTCAGTGCAGCCTTCTGTGTTTTGATGGAGTTCACTGCTCCAGCTTTGACGTCGAAACATGATTTAAACCCCCAAAAACATTTTTATTCTGTGATTAGTTTTAATGAATATAAAAAAAAAATTCAACTGAGGTAAAAAGTTTCATTACTAGATTGCCAGAAAAGATGCTGGTTTCACACTTTCATTTTCTTTTGACCCATGAAAAATCTGGCATTCTCTCAATTCAGGCACCAAATCGCATAGATATATTGATCGCAAATTTTGAACAAGTTGTTTAGGTTCTCGCTTGTAAAACAAATGGCTCTCCTGTCCAGTCGTGGCGGCGTTACGGTGCCTCATGGGAAACAACATTGCAGTGGCATCAATGTCAATATTTATGGTCTACTGAGAACCCCCAGAGGAGCCGACGAGTTCTGGGTGGATGGAAAACAGAGGAATGTTAAATGTCCTGAAGCGTGAGCAGCAGAGAAGTGGAACGTTTTGGCTTCAGGCGTCTGTCAGCGTGTTGTTGTCCAGGACGATCTTCTCCCCCGGTTTGAACGCTGGCATTCCCAGGTATGGGCAGCTGGCACAGCGGAAGGCATCACCAAGGTAACACTAGCACAAATAAAATACATCGATATTATTTTAATAATCTGGAAACAGGAGTCAACGCTTTGATTTTTTTTTTTTCCCCCCCACACTACTCACACTTCCACACGCAGACTTTGGTAGGTTAGTTTTCGGGCTCTCTTTGCTCTCCTGCTCCAACTCTTCAGCAAGCCCACATGTGCTGCACAATGACAGAACATAATAAATCATATTGAAATATTAACGGTCTGAAACGACGTAGTGAAAATATATCAGATGTAGATACACCTGGAACTCCAACCAGCTTGTCATCTGAGAGTAGCCCAACCTTTGACCTCTCTGACCTGACGGCTTAGAGCTTGAAGTGAAAAATGACCTAGGAGGGTTTTAAAACGTAAGGCGGGACCTTACCAGTTCTTGCAGGCTTTTTTCTTCTTGCCAGTCCCTTCTCCGCAGCTTGAAGCTTTAAGAGAAGCTGCGTCCGGCTTCTTTAGGTCGTCCTCATCGAGCAGAGTGTCAGAGTCCAACAGATCCTGCAGCAAACGGAGCAGCGTGGAGACAAACCGCATCAAGAGGCTGCAGCTACTTTATTCACGCTCGATTTGTGGAAATAGCCTCTGATAAACTAATAAGTATGTTGCTATAATGTTGCACAATTTTACACTAAGTTTATATTTCAAACAGCCCTCAGTAAAATGACTCCTATTTACCATACTTTATATTTCACATCTAAACTCGTCTTAAAATTATTGTTGGATAATTAGCTTCATGTCGTCACTCTACGTCTGTATACAGTAAGCCTCTTACTTCTATTTGGTTCTGTATTATCCGTAATTTTTCAAACTCAACTCAGGAAGGTTGCTGTGTTTACATGCAGTATTTTCAGCTTCTTATTCAAACAGCAAAACAAGTCAGAAACTGAACAACAGTCCAATAATATGACTTAAAAATACTCCAAAAATGATGTGCTTCTTTCGTGCAATTAGGATTTTCAGCTGTTTAAACCCAGTTTTAACAAAATGTCATAAATAAAGTCCAGGCTCTTATTTGCAATACAGCATTTTCTGATGATATTTCAGAGATTTCTGTCTGTCATTCTACAAGCTGGATAAAGCATGCTCATTCAAAGCTCCTGGCTTGCCAACAACTCGTTAACCACAAATTAAATCATGCCTGCAGTGGTTTTTGAAAAATCGAACTGCCTTTGAACTCACCACGTCATCGTCATTCATGTCGTTTGCTGACAGCATCCACATTTTCTTAGTGTTGGGATCCAAAGCTGGTTTCTCTGCTAAACACACAGATGTTAACATTTATAGCAGGGGTCCCCAAACTACGGCCCGCGGGCCGGATCCGGCCCGCCACGTCATTTGGGCCGGCCCACTGAACAATGCCGGATCCGGCCCGCCTGCTCATACCAGAGAGCATTCAGTGTTTTTTTTTTCGTATATTGTATTTTCCGGTTTATATGTGGATTTTTCTTCAACCACCAGGGGGCTTTTGAGCAAATGTGAAACTTACTTTCCCTCAATGGAATATATACTCGTCAGTCACCGTTTCACTCACGGTTTTTTCCATTTGCATTCTGGGTAAAAATCTATCCAAAAGTGTCGTACAAGAATTTCTTTGTTTTTTTTTACTGCAAAAACTAAGACCGGCCCCCGACCACAGAAAGGAACAGCTATGTGGCCCTCGCAGGAAAAAGTTTGGGGACCCCTGATTTATAGACATTAAAATGACCAAATGCTGCTAAAGCTGTTATGAAGATGATGACTGAATGACAGACCATCTTTATAAACTTACCTGGCTTCGGTGTCTTTTTCCCAAACGACAGTTTGAGCTGGCTGGAGGATCCCACCTCGTAGTTGGGTTTGGAGGCAGATATGCGGACCCTAGTCAGAGTGTTTCCTTGGTAACCAGTGGCTGCTCTGAGGGAGCTCAGTGCCTCCGGACTAAGCTCTGTTTTACTGACCTGAATAAAGAGACAGCAGGAGGGTCAGCAGATCTAAGAGGGGATTAAACACAGGTGACCTTGTGATTGTTTTTTTTTAAACCTGTTGATTATTTAGAGGTGTATTGATAGCCGTTTTTTCCAGACTGAGTACAAATGTGAGTACTTCAGTTTACATACTTACTGATTCCAAGTAGTTAACAAGTTGGTGCTGAAACATCACACAAACACATTTACACATAACAAGCTGGCTCTTCTTCTTTATAAGCCCAGAGTCCCAGCTGACTGGTAAATAAAACATGACATACAGTGTTGCATTCATTTAAAACACATTTAAAATAATAAAAGTTTTACATTCTTTACAAGTTTCCTTGAACATACAACCACCAAACATTTCAATTAAAATATAAACTAACAAAACAATAAATTTTAGCCCTGCATGTCTATGATAGCAGAATTTTATGCTCTTCTTCATGTTTGGAGTTCTGTTGGTTGTGCTGTGCTGCAGCCACCGGCATCATACTCTGAATGCGTTTTCAATTCATTGTTTAGTTTACCTTTATCAAATCACTCGTGTTAAAAGGCTCACATTTCCCCCCTCCTCTTGACAGACTGCTTCTTTTCTACTATCCTTTGTGTTTTTCTTGAAACTTCTCCAGACTACAGATATTTTGGCTCCTTCTACCATCTAACTTCTCCCACCTCCATTATTAATAATAACAAAAATCAGCCAAAGAGTAGAAAGAAAGCAATAAAAACTCAGATGCACGAGCTAACTTACAAACAACTCGTACTCTTCCACTATCTTTCATCTCTTAATCCAGCCACCCTGTAGTTGACCTACATGGTGAGTACTTGCAGAGGGAACAAACTTCAGAAAAAAAAACAAAAAACAAAAAACAAAACGAACCAAACTAGGTTTTAGCAACAGTGTAACCACCAAACCACTGAATTAATTCTAGTCACGGCTTGATATTCTTATTTAAAATCAGTTTTTGTTCTCTTTGGAGTGATGGCATCTATTTGGCTAATAACTCTGCCATGTTCATCTCCAGTATAATCACAGTAGATGATAAATTGGAACATTTTACTGAGCCCTTGCTTTTCTCTCACCTCTGTTACCGACATGAAGCCAGACAACTTCAGAGCCGACATGAGTTTCTCTGCAGTTCTCATCGTTTGTGCTTCTGTGCCTGTAACACAAACACAGTTCATTTAGAGAATGGATAACACACGATAACCAATCTCGGGCTTTTCAGCAGGATTGTGTTTATAAAAGTTGTGCTGTACGTCTTCTGGTAATCTAACATTCCTAATGATTCTGAGGCCTGCACCATAGTAACACTTTAACACATATTTAGCACCTTTTCAAACCAATATGAATGGAATTTAAACCTGTATCATGTCAGATATGTACTAATTTTTTTTAAAATCACATATTTATATTGTAGCACAGAATGAATGCAGCATTGCTGAAGACAAATGTCATCCAGACAAGAAATTTACATTTACGACAGACGCGAAAAAGCTACTTTCTTAGTTATAAATCTTACTTGATGCACACATTGCAAGTGAAGGATAACAAATCCAGTTTGCCAGGTGCCCTGATTTCTTTTTTATTTTTAAGTTACACATGTAGTCGAACACTATAACCCTCTGGGTATTTCAAACAAAGATGGCGGACAAAAGGGTTTCTGGTGAGGCTGCGTTAGGCACAGAGACCGAACTCCCAATAAGAGACTAGAAAGCAACTTGAAAGGAATGATTCATCTTACCTGTGACTGGTTCATCCAGGAGCAGCTTCCCACCAGGTCTCAGCACTCTGACCATCTCGGCTAAAGTGTCTGGACTGTGGATGTAGGAGCAGTCGGCCAGAAGACAGGAGAGCACCCAGTCAAAGGAAGAAGCTGCATGAGAGGCTGTGATGAAGAAGGAAGAAATACAGTAAAACTTTCTACTCATGCCTTCAACAGAAAAATTTTATTGTCTAGGCCTTGTTATATTCTTTGTTCATATATATCTGATTTTAAGATATCAGTCCCGTTAGAACTCAAAACAGGGTAAACTTTACTAAAAAACTTGGCCATAATCTGGATGTTTCAATACGGAATAATCATTTTAAGGACGAATACATTGATGTTTCGCCAGTTAGACTTAACTGGGTTGAATAATTAAATTGGTGGGCGACTGACTCACAGAGCGACAGTCTCTCCATGTTCTCCACGGAGACTTTTCCATCTGCACCTACTGCTGCCCCAAGTTCCTCAGCATATTGCTTCAAGGTTTCTGGTGTTGACGGCTGAGTCCACACCAGCAACACTTTGTCTCCTGCTTTGACGCCAAGGTCGGCCATTATTTCCTGGGGAAAGATTAATTAAAGTTGGTCAAGTTTTACATTTTCTTTTTTTTTTAAAATGTGATGATTTACAAATCACTTTAAAAAACAACAAAAAAAAAAAATTGGAAAATTTTCTAAAAAATATGGTAAGGTTGCGTCACAACATTTAGGACTCAATCTGAACCTGCAGATTGGGTTTCAAGTCTTCATAATATGTCAGTACCTTTAATTATAATGTTCAAGCAATACAGAAACAACACAAAGGTAGGCAGTATTTATATATCAACAAAACAAAATAGCGGGAGAGGAAAATGACAGGCTTGCTGTTCTTTTCCTTGATCTGTCAACATCGTCAACCACCAATTTTACATCACGTGGCCCTTCGAGCTCAGACCAATATCCCAACGTAGAAAAGCATGACTTTTTCAGGTCACTCCATCAACTCCATTATTTCCTAGAAAGTTTAATTATAATTAGCCTTTAAAAGTTATATGCCACCTTTACAGAAGTATATTTTTGTTTGTAAAAAAAAACCAAAAAAAACCCTATGACTAAAATATAAACCCTGGACTTTCTCAGTTTATGGTTTCATCTTTTGGGGTTTGATATTTTTTAATGATTGTTTTATTATATGTAAAGCACAGACTCCTCAACTAGACACCGGTCAGGATCCAGATCAAAATGATCAGATCAAACTGGCTCCAGATCAGTTTTTAGATTTCTGAACTCCAATCTTGTGAAAGGCCTCAAGCCTGAAATGTCTTACTTAACAAATGCATTTTCTAAACAAATACAGGAGATTGTGCAGTGCACACTTTACATTTCTGCTTCTCTCTAGCACCCAGGTGCCGTTTGGGGTTTCCAAATTCTGTGTGTGTGTATATATATATATATATATATATATATATATATATATATATATATATATACATACTTTTTAATACTGCTCAGATTTGGAAAGATGGGAACTAGAGAATGATACTTATCCAGTATATATGATGGTCCCGACTACAGTTCAGAATCAATGTGTAAGTTTTAAATACGGCTTTAGTGTTTGGTATAAACATTGCTAAATTATGTGAAGCATTGACTCTGCCCTAAAAATTAGCTAATGGCTAATGTACAAATAAAATCTTGAAGATGAACTGACCAGTTATCCAGAATGTTCTCCGTCAACTGTGTAACAAAGCCGCAAATTAAAATCCTCACTTGGTGTAAACCGAATACTTTTAGTATCAACAATGATACACCAAACTTATCTTTGGTGAAAGTCTTTGTTACTAAAAACCGACGCAATGACGCAGTTTGTAACCATTAGCGACACTTCTGAGGTTTTTTGACACGTTGTTTAGACAGTGAGAGCCCGGTAAAGTTCTACCCCAGGAAAAATAAATAAACGTTTCTAGTTATCGATGTAAAACACCTCCAAGAAGTAACTTTAACTAATTAAAATAAAAACTAAAAGGATTTCTCTCAACGACTCACCTGCTCTTCTCACGGCACTTACACAAAATAAGTCGTTTAAGTGAGTTGAGGGGGAGTGTTTCCGGTTATTAACTTTCAAAATAAAATATTTTTAAAAGTTTAACATTTTAAAGAATTTAATTCAAACAGAGATAATGTGGTGATGTATATTTATTACTAAATATATAATTATTCTTTTGCATAATATTGTGTTTCATGTACAAAAAAATGAGTAATATTGATTTTAATTTAAAAAAATTTTTGGCAGTCAAGTTTTGTTTTAAAATAAACTTCCGGTAAATTTGCGTCGCGGTGAAGTGACGCAGCTGTGAACCTCCCAGTCGTGCAGCTTGTTATGGCGGCGCTTCTGAGAGGACTGCGAGCTGGAAGGCTCCTCCGAGGGCTATCCAGCGGTAAGACAAACTCGTTCTTGCTTTGTTTCACCGCAGAACACACACACACACACAAATCAAAGACACGCCTACAAATCTTTCTGTTTCAGTTTTACGTTTTGAAAAAAAAAAAAAAAAAGCCAGAGTTTACGTTAGCTAACCGAAGGTGATCATGAAGGACAGTAAACAGGTTACCTTTCGGAGGCGTACGCTTTGTAAAAATGAAGAATTTAAGTAATAAAATCAGACATATGTTAATCGTATTGCAGTGCATTGTAAGCATGTTAGTCTTTACAGCTGGGGGGTTGGGAGGGCGTGTTTTTCTGCAGTTATGGCAAGCGTTTCTAATAAATCGGCTATATATAGCTGAGTATACTTGTTTATTTTCTTGTTTCATAAAATTTTCAACGGATAGCACAGATGCAGATATAAGCTGGAATATGTCAGTATTTATATTTGAGCGTAATCTTCTCTTTTAATCTTTAAAGGAGTCATTCGGAGCAACAATAGAGAAAAGTAGAATAAAGCTTTATTTTGTCTCACAATATACCATGTTTATGGACATTAGCCTTTCGTTCAAGCTGAAGTAATTGGTATTTACTTATGAATTTTCTTATTAAAATTGTCATTATGTTCAACAATACTAATGCTAGTTTTCTTAAATTGTGCAGCCATATTTTTTATGACCTTATTGACTAGGAAAAAAACTTTTTTTTTTTGTATTTAACCCCAGATTACTGATCCATGGCAAGGTTTTCCCCAGAAAACGTGCTAAACCCGGTGATTGGGTCGCTCGGGCAGTCATTCATCCAGTGTCCCGCCATGTTTTTGAGATAAAAAATGTTTGTAGTTGACAAGAAGTTTGAAAATATCACTTGATAATTATGTGTTACTGAAAGAGTGGAAGATTAATATCTGAACACCACCTATAAAGTCTTAAAAAATGCAAGCATTTAAAAGAAAACTTAAGTAAATAAGCAATGCTTAGCCTGGTGGGGGCACAAGTAAAGCCTGGTGGCCCGCCAGGCTTATAATACGCTGGGGGAAACCCTGTATGAATAATTTAAAGCTGGGTAGTAGCAAAAACTGTGTAAACAAATTAAAGGTAAATTAAAATACAAACACCAGTAATCTGAAAACAAATTTTAAACAAGAGTATTTGTTTACGTATGTTATATTTAGTTGCTGAAATTCAAAGACATCTGTGTTGAATGAGTAACTTGTTCAGGGTGCATCCCGCCCATGTGAGCAACAACATCCCAGCTCAGACTTTTGTTCTTCATGGAAAACCCTAATAACCGAGTTGATTAGGAGATTGAGTGAAAATCTCTGCCCTCCTCCAGTGGTCGCTGCACCGACATCAACAACCCCTCAGTGCAGCAGCCTGAGACGAGGCTTCCACTGTGCAGCACTGAGACTGCAGGACGAGTCCAAATCTGACAAACACTCTGCATCTTCGTCCTCCTCCTCCTCATCATCATCATCCACAACCCACGATGACTACACCTCCCAGCAGGATTTTGATCCAAGCAGCGGGTCAGTCATTAAGAAGCTGTTTGCGAGTTCTGCTGCTGTTCCACCTACTGGACAGTCTGCCTCAAAATGCTAATGCAAACAAGTTTAACTTATTGTGCTTCATTCGTTGTAAAATATTCCTCTGTGTTTGCACAAAGTGACCAGGAGCAGGACGAGGACTATGAAACGGAAGAGCAGCTGCAGGCACGAATTCTGACGGCGGCTCTGGAGTTTGTCCCGTTGCACGGCTGGTCCATGGAAGCCATCTCCGCTGGTGCTGAAGTAAGATTTAAGCAACTTTCAAGTATATTTACTTTTCATTTTTTTAACTACTTCTATCAGCAGTTAAAATGTTATCTTGACTTCTTTTGAATGTTTTTTTTCCCCAACACAACAACTTCACCTTTGTAAGGCTAAGCTAATTTTTGAAACAGTTGTTTAATTTGAGACTATCTGGATTTAGACTAAGTGCAACAATTGGAATTAACAGGAGTAAATTAATTACATTATGTTAAAGGAGGCTTCAGGCTATCTTTGATGTTTCTGTTGTTGCTGTGCTGCCCCCAGGCTGTGGGTTTGTCCTCTGCTTCCACTGGGATGTTCACCAATGGAGCGGGAGACTTGGTCCTACATTTCATCTCCCAGTGCAACTCCAAGCTGACAGAGATCCTGGCTGAACAACACAATGAAGTCCAGCTGGGTCAGGCAGAGTATGTATGCACAACCTCACTGTGCATTTCAGAAATAAAACTTTTTAGAGTCTGCAAGAGACTTGAGACTTTACTCATCGGCAGGACAGCTCCAAAATACAAGCAGAGCTGAAGTAGACGTGTTTAGACGAGGACATTTTGATGTTTTAGAATGATCTAGTCAAAGTCAAACCCTACATCAAGCTGGGAATGTATGTTGAGACTTAAGGATTAATGTTTTCATGCTATCTTGCTGCGTTGAGCTGCTTTGCAAAAAGAGGGGGCAAACGTTTTAGTCTCTAGATCTGCAAAGCTGATGGAGACACGTCCCAAAAAACCTGCAACTATAATTTGAGCAGAAGCTAGTTTTCCAAAGTATTATCTCAGGAAGGCTGGATATACATGTATGCCACACAATTTTTAGATATTTTCCTGTAAGACATTTTGAAACCTTGCAGTCTTTCCCTCCCACGTCACTGCTATGCATTACTTTGGGTTGATCTCTCACATAAAATGTAACTTCCGTTCAGTGAAGTTTGTGGTTTGGATTTGAGAAAATGTTCAAAAGTTATAGTACATCTACTTTTGTGAGGCTTTTGGAGACGTAAACCCAAACTCCCCGTCGGCTATTTTTGTTGCAGACCAAAGAAGACAGCTGACTTCCTAAGAGATGCGGTAGAGACCAGGCTGCGGATGTACATCCCCTACATGGAATCCTGGCCACAGGTAACCATCAGCGCTCAGTCCCAGCAGAAACGGTAAGAATTGCATTTCATCTTTTTCTTGCTGTTGCGTCTGTAGGCGATGAGCATCTTGCTCCTTCCTCACAACATCCCCGACAGCTTGAAGCATCTCTCCACCATGGTGGACGACATCTGGTACTACGCCGGGGACCGCTCCACAGACGTGAGTGGATCCTCCCGCCTTCGATCCTCCTCTTCTTCTGCTCATACCTTCCTCGCCCCCTTTCATCATCCCCCCCACAATATCCGGCCTGCTACGTCTCAGGTTATCCCGCCCATCACCGAGCCAACTTTCATGTCTTCTTTCTCTCTTATCTGAAGGAATATTGATTCTTCAGATTTCTGTACCTCACTCTTCTGTATGTTTTTGTTTTTGTTTTCTTTTTAGTCTGCATATTTTGTCTTAATAAATGGTAAATTCATATGCGACAGTAAAGTCTATTTCTTTCTCAACAAAATGTCAAAGTTATTTTTCCATCTGCCTTCTGTCTGAAGATGAACTGGTACACGAAGCGGGCAGTGCTGACCGGTCTGTACAACGCAACAGAGCTGGTGATGCTGCAGGATTCCTCCCCGGACTTCCAAGACACCTGGACCTTCCTTGATAACCGCATTCAGGATGTAACCAACATGGCCGTCACGGCAAAGCAGGTACAGAAGAGTTGAGGCAGAAAACATTCAAATTTGATCACTCAAGAGAAAGAGATGAATCTCTCTCTTTTAGTAATGTTCTGAATGTGTGAATGAATTAAAAACCAAAATACCTGTTTGAACGACGTGGCATAGTTTTCTTTTTCCCTGTAGATGCAGTCGACTGGTGAAGCTGTAGCGCAGGGTCTCATGGGAGCTGCAGTTACGGTGAGTTTTCAGGGTGTGTTTTCTTTTTAATCAGCGAATAAAACTACTGTAATCATTATGGCTTCTCATGCATATCTCTGACCTTTCCTTGTTAAAGGACATGGTCTATTTTTTAACCGATAGGCTTTTCTGTAAACATCCACATGATGGCAGCATTGGATCTGCAAAACTGCCTCAATACTGCAAATTACAACACAGCTGTAGAGAAGGAAGACGTTTTTTTGTTTGTCTTTTTTCCAAATATAGTTGTTTGAATCACCTTTCCTCACTCTTCCTCTTTATGCCCTGGCAAGACCTTTTAGTCCAACAAAAAATAGACAAGCTTAAATTACAGAATGAAATAAAACTATCCATACCACCAGCTCTGATTAAAAAGATTCCTGTTTGCATCTCAGTGTATCGAAAAAGTACATTTTTATCCCTCACCCCCACCTATTTGGCTTAAAGCTCGAACAAACCCTCTGTGAACCTGTCATTTGTCAATTACTGCATTTATTTTTAATGAGTGTTTTGTTTTGTTTGATAGTGCTACATACTATGTTTAATTATTTTTAATACTTAGGTACATATGAGCGTTAGTAGCTTTGTAGTTAATGATAAATATAAGTTGATCTGAGATAATGTGACCCATTTTTAAAATGTTTTTTTTTTCTTTTTCTTTTTTTTCAGTTGAAGAACCTCACAGGACTGAACCAGAGACGATGATGTGAAACTT